TGAAAAGGCTTTCAGAGATCCTTCCTCATCTGAAGTTCCATTCATATAAGAATAAACTTGATAGTAATCATGTTGATTATATCTGAAATACCATTTAAGTGGACATTATGAGTTTAATCACTTAATACCAAATCCCACCCAACTCATCTCTAGTATATGTGCTGCTGAAGTGAGCACTCACTCAACTCATCTCCTACTTCTGTTATAGACGCTGGAAGTTAAATATTCTATTTCCCTTGCAATGTGGAATGGTCATGTAACACCATTATGCAAGGTATAAGTGGAAGTCTGCTGGGAGGAAGGAATTCTCAGAAATGTTTTACAATTCTGATTTTTTAAAAAGAAGGATTGGCTTTCTACCTAACTTCTTCAAGCTTGGGACACAGATATCATTCTGGAAGGGGCAACAAACTGGCTTGTGACAAAGGCCAGCAAAAAGGCCAAGAGAATCAGGATTTCTAAGAGCTGACCATTATATCTAAGATCTTAAATAAGTGGTACTAATTTCTTGACCTATGGCAGTGCCATACATGAGCTAATATATTCTTTGTAAAATGCATTCTTTCATTTTATAAACTCTCATAATTCTATCTTGTCACTATGAAAAAAGATTGTTAGATGCAAAATGCATCATAGCTGTGTTGTATTTTATGTTTGCACTGTCATATGTTGTCTTGATTTTTAAAATAGTTTATCATATTGTAATGATCTTAATATCTTAATCTCCAATTTTGTTGATTTTTTTTTTGGATAAGTTAAAACACTCGTCTGAGAGTCTTGACAGTTGGTAGAAGGAAAATAAATTGACAGACATTAACTTGAGAGGCAATTTTAGATATTAAAATAATATGGAGACAGGAAAATTAAACTAAGTGTTACTTTGCACAAGAAGTAGTAAGTTTATGGGATGCAATACTCTAAGATACAATTAATAGGTTAAATAAAATTTAGATAAATGGACTAACACTTTGGTTAATACAGAGTTAATATTAGAATTTGAGATACAAGAGCATGCTTTCAAACAATTAGTGCTTCTCAAAAGCAGAGCAGGATTTCCAGCTGGAGTGGTGAAAACCTCACTCTTGGAAGAGCCTGAAATAGTCTGGGTCATACTATCAGGATGTTGTAAAGAAATTTCCAATACTGGATGACTTTTAAATTGCCTTCAAATCTATGAGTCTATGACTAATGACCATATTATATGTTCATAGTTTTCCTCCCAAAGAGATACAGATAAATAAAACTTTACTCAGATTATCAATTCTTGCATTCATTCAATAATAAACAAATATTTTCTGAGTACCTACTATGTGCCAGTTATTACAAAGATAGATGTGTGTTCTTTTGCATCTCTCTGTGTTTTCATTTCTTTTCCCATGACTTCTGAAATCCTTGCTGTTGGGAGAAATGATTTTGGAACCAGATAGAACTTGGTTTTTATTTCAACATTACCACTTACTAGCTTTATAACCTTGAAGTAGCCCCTTAACTCCTGCGAGTCTCAGTTACATCACCTGTAAAACAAAAATAATAATAATATCACCACAGTGTTAGTGATAAGATGAAATAACATGTTAGAAAATTGCCTGGCATGTGAGATGTAGGCAATAAATGTTGATTTTCTTCCCTTTTTTCTTCTGCTTGTAGAAAAATGGGAGACTTCACCCAGCCCCATCAGTTCCATTCAAAACTACCTGCTTCACATGTGCCAATTCTTATAGCTCTTACAGAATACAAATGACTTTGCATTTAAACATACAATCTTCATTCATGAAGATATGGTCCATCTTAAAAGGTGAAAAACTGCTGTGCTGTCAAATAATACACTAATTGGAATCTTTGCCGAATTACCCACCTTATAATGATGAGGTATGCAGAATGGGTAGGAATGAAAGAAGGGTTTGGAAAGTGAATGAAAAGGAATAGCAGATGGTACTTGGGTGCTAATAGAATATAAAAGTCTGAGAGTAAAGGAAGGAAGAAAATAGAAAATGAGAGACTCAGCATGTGAAACTAAAGAGCCCTGGGCATTTCATCGAGGACGGTTAGAGTCTCCAGCATGGCTAAGTTCCAGCTCCACTAATTATAGTCTGATGACCAATTCTGGATACTATCCTTTATTCACCAGGTTGAGGCATTTCCACTCTTGCTTTTGGAATGTCATTTGGGATTGTGGTATCTAAATGAATTCCTGCCACACATGCTCGGTTGAAAGATACTACAAAAATAAAAAAAATAGCTGAGCAAAGTGGAAGCTAAAGACCAAACCTGCAGATGTTTCAATGCTGCTTTTATTAATTCAAGCCAGTTCTTGCCAGTCAAGTACTAACTGGGGCATCGGCACATGACCAAACTGCATTCATCTGTGAAGGGGCTGGCAGCCTGGGTGCCTACACACAATGGTGCTTGTTCTATTATTCCTGCCAGAAGGGAGGAATTGGACCATTGTAACTGGAATTTGTGCAGGTCAGGGACTCTACACACTAATTTAAGACTCAACTCTCAGAGTGGAATGACTCCATGATTCTGCTCTAATCCACACAAAAATTTTCATTTCAGCCACCAACGAGTCCTTGAAAATCTGCAAGACATCAAATTCAGCTCAAGTATAAACCTGGATTTCTGTGTACTGAGAAATTCCAGGGATCTCCTTCTTTCTCACAAAATTAGACTCTTCCCAGGTCTGGAATTGTACACATCTTATAGTTCATTTTGTCTGATATTCATACAGCCACCTCCGGCTTTCTTATGGTACCTCTTGGCATGACATATTTTTTTCCCACCATCATTTTCCTTTCAACTGATTTGTGCCTTTGAATCTAAAGTCTGTCTCTTCTAGAGGGCATATGAATGGACCTTATTCTTTTATCAGACTGACAATCTCTGCTTTTTGATTTGAGTGTTTAGACCATTTACCTTTAACATAATTATTGATATGGTTGGAGTAACATTAGCTATGTTGCTGTGTTTTCTATATGCCTCGTGTTTTGTTTGTTCCTCTGTTTCCCCTTCACTGTCTTCATTTGTTTGTAATGCTTGTAATGTAATGATGACAGCTCTTGTTTCTGGCAAAAATTCTTTCTTTTTCAAGGATTGTTAATAAAATAACCCAGTTGGTTTTGCATAATCAGTGGGGCCACACTTGCTATTATACTTAGTGAGACTACCTTTCCCATCTTTCCGTATCCACTCCTTGGTGTCTGGCCCATCCCACCCCTGTTTGAAGAAGTAGGTAAAAAAAGTAATTATTTGACATCTGGACTATGGAGAATTCTAGTATAGCATATATATGTGTGTATAATAATTATTAACTTAGAGAGAATGTGAGAGGGATAGTTTTTCTTCTTGTTGTCAGCTCCAGAGTGAGGGAAAGAATTTGATGGCTATCACCATTTTAATACGAAAGAAAAATTAAAAAGAGAATGTAAGATTTTTAGAAGGTACAGGGTACCATGTTCTCTGTGATATCAAGCATATCAAAGTAGAAATATGTAAAAAATAAGCATGTATGCCCAGGAGAAGGACAATAGGATGTTAGCAATTTCTGGTGTTATGACTCTTTTTAAATTATTTTCTGTTTTTCAGATATCCTACAATGTGTATATATTCCCTTTTACCCTGATTTTTTCCTGATTTAAAAATGGATACTCATTTATTTAAAAACAAGTCAAATAATATAACTATTCTAAAGAAGAAAATAGAAGTCACCCCTAGTCCTCATTGATCACTTCTCTTCGGTGAAAATTCTTCCTGACATCAGCCTGTGGATTATTACATTAATTTTATAAACGTGAAAAAGACACCACAAAGGATGGGAAAGCAAATGTTGTGCCTATGCCCTAGGCCTTACAAATAATAAGTTCTGATGTATGCCATTTATTTTATAGCGGATATATCCAGATTTTTTCCTAGTACCTCCACTGTGTACTCTCATCCTGGGCGGAGGGTGATATGGCAGAAAAACTACTTATCTCACAGTGGAGAGAAAAGACAGGGCATTGGAGACATGTGCTGACACAAATTAGTACAAGACTTTGTAAATAACTTCATAAGTCAGCCCATTTCTTCTGTGAAAGTACCTCAGTCATCCTACAGCCTGGGTTGAGGATGAAAACAGTGACAAGATGAACCTGTGTAATTACTGCTAAAATTCCTTCCTATATTTTCTTCCAGTCCTTATATATTAAATAATTATATTTCTTTGAATTATAGATTAAATAAAGAAAATAACTTTTTTTCATTTCTTAGTTTTTTTTTTTTTGTTTCTCACCATGTGGTCCAATCTATTGTTATACAACAGATAATTTATTATTAAAACATCCCATTAGAAGAAGATATGTAGTAATACGGATTCTGTGGCTTTTGTGTCAAGTTTGCAAAAGACTAATCACATTGCTATATTGTGTACAGGAAACACCACAGACACACTTAATTTGCTTTTGTTTTTTCCTTTTAGACCATCAAAGTGAAAACCTACTAAGGAGCTTAAAAAAAAAAAGCTGGAGCTTTGGAAGAAATAATAATCTTGGATAAAATTTATGTACTTAAAATCACAGCAATCACAATCTTCTTTGAATCATTTAAAAAAAATTCATAGATAAGACAGGATGCTCCTTTACCTTGACGTAAGATGCACAGCTGATGCACAAAATAAGAAAGAATTATACCAAAAATACCAAACCTCTGACCTCAAATCACTGTACGGGATACACCATATATTGGATATTCAAAATACTCTTTTACTCTCTCAGCTATTTGTAACTCTGCCACTTTAATGGCTGTTACCTGATAACTGATTTTTAAAAATGGTTTTAAGTTAGGCATCTAATAAATTACTAGAGTCAACAAAGGTTTTGCTTCTTTGTTCTTGAGGAGATGAAAACATTTTCTTCTAATGAGTTTGTCCAATAAATGTCTTACAGAAATGCACATACCCTTAAGTTATTCATTTTAATAAGTTTATTCTGAGGTAAATAAAAAAATACACAATGCAATACACCTTATGTCAGACCATGCTGAAAACTTTATTGGATATGATACAGGTTTCAGGGCAGTAGTTATTATATACAATATTTTTCTTTTTAATCAAATGGATACAATTCTTCACACTGTTAACAATGTTACACCCTCACAGTAGCAATACACAGTACACCATTCTCTTCACAGGCCAGTGTTTCCTCATGAAGACAGCTGTTGCATCCTGCAATAAGGCCAAGAGATGTCAGAATTCAATGCCAAGTATCAGGATGTCCTGTATGAAATGATTCCAGTATGAAGAAGATCTGATGCGTTGCTGTTTCAAATGATCGTTTTTACTTGAGACAAAGTGTACTAAACTCCAGGAAATTAGTCCCAGCTAATAAGAAGGCAGAATATATTTTTATTTCATCAACAATTTACTTGTGCAAAGTACATGTGTTAGTATAGCATGTGGGTACGATGTGGTCTAAGGAAGCTTGCGGTATTTTGAGAAAGAAGGGTGTATATATAAAAGATAAATAGCTTTATTTCCTCTCCCCGACCCCCCTCCATTTTTGTTTCTGTCTCTCAAGATGCAAGAAGCCTTGGGGGCATGACAGGAAGACTGCCAGTCTCAGTCTTTTGCAGAAGAGTTTCTAAAATTCCACGTAGTCTTTTTTTTCCCCCCTAACGATGTGACTTGAAATACGGTAAAATCAAATATCATCATAGTTGGGAGTGTCACTGGTCCCTAGTTTACGGCCAGGGTTTCTGTGGTGTGTTAGATATTTAAAGGATTTCCAAGTCTCAACTCACCAGAAAAAACATGCAACCATGCAAGGTCCTGCAAGGGGCACGAAGTTTATAATGGCCTTGCCAAGGAAATTCCAAATCAAAACAAACCATCCCTAGTGTGCACATGAGAAGAGAAGAGACCAACTGAAAGGCAAAAGGCAGAAGGCAGAAAGATCCTGCAGATGGGCTCTAGCTCCTGCTGTCCGGTCCTCACGGCACGGAAATTCTCCAGCCCGCGGCAGGAGGCAGATGCAAGGAAGTCTTAGGTAAAGTTCAGCACTCATTAGTTATGGGGGAAAGGTTCTGATATATTTAAAGAGGCAAAAAAAAAAAAAAAAAAAAAAAAAAAGCTGACCTCAAAGCAGAGTACATTTGAAGTGATAACTCGCCCTTGCATATTTTTCAGTATGGTAACTTTTCAGCAAGAAGTGCTTATGTGTATATCTGATATGGAGTGGGGCCAGGCTGATCTGGGGTGCAGTGAATTCAGGAGTTAAGCTCAGGCCTTTTCTAGAGGCAGAAGTATCCATCCCCATTGCTTAAGACCTGGACCTCCCGGTGCCAGATGTCACAGGGAACGATGGGGCTTAGGAGCTCCTTCACGTTTCCTCAAGGTAGATGGTTAAAGACTGTTACTTGGAATTTTTAAATTCAAGGTTAAATTTTAATATGATGATCAAAGATACTGACTTGTTCACCAGATTACAATGTTAGATGTTACCTCTATTTTTATTGTTTTAGATAAGATGTTGCACAATAGTGCTTCCATTTGGGTAACAGCAGAATTGAGCCTTTTGTAATGTACTGCAGCGTTAACATCTAGGGGTGATTTCAGGAGTTCTGTGTAGGAGAGGTTTAGGGACAGCAGTTTGATATTAAGGGGTTGCCGAGTGGACTCATCTTGAAGCTGTGTTTGCATTAAAAAATTTCTGCTGTTTACAATTAAATTACATTAAAAAATAGTATCAGTCTGAAGATTTTAGAGCCCTCTTTTAATTTTTTGGATTATTATGTCCATGGGTGAGGATGGAGCATTGTAGGGTGCTGGTGGCTACATCCTACCCTTGGCATAGTTGCTGACAGCGTCCCACAAAGGTTGGTAAATCTGTTAAAGATATTACTTCTCTGAAATACAGGGCATTTTGTCCCTATTACATTATGCCTATATCATGTTATGCCTTTAGAGTGTCACAGAAGAATTGAGGCCTGAAATCCTGTATAAATGATCAGTTCACTGAAGCTGGTATTCACAGCAAACAGAGAGCACATACAAACAGATTTTCCTCCACTAGTCTTCTTGAAAATCTCCCTTGGTGGTGGTGGGGGGAGGGGTGATCACTAATGCAGAGGATTTGAGAGGTGTTGAAAATAAACGAAGGATGCAGAGGATATTATTTTCTAAAAAAGGATTTGCCAGAAGCCTCCTTATTTGAACAGTAACGTGACTGCACTAAGCACATGAATCATGCTCTAAACCTGGGTCTTCCCTAGTTTTCTGAGTGTTGTGCCAAGCAAGACAGTTAATTCGCACAGAGCATATTACCACGTTTGACAAAGGCATTATCCTCTATGAAAGCACACTGCCTGGAGCTGGAGGCGCGGCCATTCACCCTACAAGCTGTGGCCCTTGCAGGGGATGCCTGGGGAGAATGTGGGCACAGCTTTTCAAGGCCCCTACAACCCAGCTTGAGTCAAACACGTGCAACCACCTTTTGCTTTTGGTACAGATATTTGTTTTCCAATTGAGTCTAGATATTGGTTTTGTAAAAGGAAAAGAGAATATATATATTTATAGGTATTAATAGGTATTTGCAAGTGTACGTACATTTATTATGGTTGAGTAAGCATCAAATTTTACAAAAATATCTCCCTCTATAAGCCTCATTTTTTTTTTAAGATTTTATTTATTTATTTGACAGAGAGAGAGACAGCAAGAGCAGGAACACAAGCAGGGGGAGTGGGAGAGGGAGAAGCAGGCTTCCCACTGAGCAGGGAGCCCAATGCGGGACTCGATCCCAGGACCCTGGGATCATGACCTGAGCAGAAGGCAGACGCTTAACGACTGAGCCACCCAGGTGCCCTATAAGCCTCATTTTGAGCATACTGATGACATGGAAATATTCAGAGATTAAATTGCCCATGACTTTAAGGCTCAAAGAAAATAACTGAATAAATTGGACCACTGAATTTCAAATTGGATCATAGAAATTACAAATATTTGCAAAGGATGAACTTTCACGGTATCGTTTCAGGGTTCTAGATTCCTCGAGAAAGTCAGACAGCTTCTTTGTGGCTGTGAAGGTCTGATTTTCATTGTGTCACCCTTTGTATTTTCTTGCTTTCAACTCCTTGCTTCGCCTGAAAGTTTATATCATTTTATTAATATTAAAGGAAAGCTATAATTCTGGAAATTGAAATTGAAGAATGAGGGATAGCATTGTCTGCTGGGCTTGAGATGAGCATTGAAAGCATAATCTGAAATATGATTATATGGTGTGTATTTATGTATGTATATATATTTAACATGTTATATCCCTGTATCTATTATCTATCTATCTATCATCTATCTATTGTCTTTTATTGTCATCTAATCTATTTCAATGGTGTGCTGAAGTGAGCTTATACTGGTTCATGAGAGTTGACAGATCAATTTTCAGGAGTTTTGCAAGCTGGTTAGGGTTATATTGGTAGCTTGAAAATGGCCATGGCAAGCCTATTTAAATCATGGAAATTGGCAAGTTATACAAATCAGGGATTTTTTTCCTTCTGAAGAGCCAGCTGTTGAATAATTTACCAATATACCATTCTAAGTTTGGTCTGGAAAGGGACTTCATACATATTTTAGTTCACAATGGAAGAAATAATCAATTTTGTAAAATACCAAAGTTAAAAAAAGTTTTTGGCATAAACTCATATTCTTAAATAGCACTCACTTTTCTTATTAAGTGCTTTAGAATAAAATGATAGTTTAGTATATTTCTTAATCATTGATTATGTTTTAGAACATTTGTACTGTTGACTTATTATTTTAATCAAAGCTTCCGCATTTACATCTTTTAGATAGTTGCAGAACTGTGCACTAAAGTTAAATATTAATGAAAATGAATGAATGAATTAATGAAAACGGATGAATCAAACTTTTCTTGTTGGTGTAGCTTTTGTGTTTATTTTTTTGTCGTTTTTGTCAAACCCTGTCATTTGGTATTATTGAGGTATTTTGTATTTGATTTGTGTTTGTCCATTCGTGTGTGTGTACATGTGTGTTTACACACACATACAGATGCTCACACATATACACACATAAAGCTCAACAAATAATAGTATTAGGGAAAAGGGATATTGGTTCATTAAACATTCTATTTGAAAACTGGGAACAACTTATGTTAAGAACTGTGCCAGGCTTATAAGTAGCTATTTGATCTGTCTGAATGGTTCTTCCTCTCTTTTCTAACACCTTCAAAATGCCATTGTTTCCATCTTTCCCCTCTGGGTTAATATCGTATTTGGTTGAAATGTGCACATTCCTGCTTCAGTGAATGCTTTGCCTAGCAGTCATAGAGGCCAAGTGTGAATTTAAGTTTACCTGTTCGATTTACTTCTAAGAATGTGCTGAGATTGGAGCTGAGCTGCCGAGCAGGCTGTGCAATGTGGCGACTCTGAATAAGAGAGACCTGAGTTCTGTTGGGCAAAGAAAAGAACAGGTGGGAAGAATGACTTCTGAACCTGGAGATAGGTAGTGGGAGTGAAGGAAACTCCCGAAGTGGATATTTCTGAACAATGACCAGCAGGAGGATATCAAATCTCTGGAAAGATTGAGCTTTTCTTCTAGTATTGATGACCTCAGCACTTCCCAGGTGCATGACTTTGATCATCGGGATCTTAGACATAGATGTGGAGAGCTACGAGGGAGGCCGACTCTGAGTCGGCCTTGGAAATTCCTTGGAAATTAGTTTTAAAAATTAAACCTATGTCATTTAATTACTCCCTTGATTTGATGCTTTTTGAGAATAGTAGAGTCCAGGACTTCCTGGATAAGTTGCTGGACAGGTGCTGGTCTTGTGATGGTCAGCCCGGTGGAGAGATGGAGTTGTTACAGAAGTATCAGCAAATTTTACAGCAGTAGTTCACACATGCGGCTATAATACATTCATCCACTGTTATTTTCCTAAGAAACGGAGCAACCTACGAGCTTATGCTACAGTAGAGTCCAATGCACCATAAGGATCACTTCAGGAGCAAAGAAGCTCATACAGAGGTGTGATATCTTTCTGTTGGTGCAAGTTCAAACCTAAGATTCTTTAAAATACATTTCCAGAGTTCTATTTAAATAGGGATATGCCACACTAAAAAAGCAGTGGCTTCTTGGTAAAACGCAATACTGAAATGGAATACTGACTTTCATAAAAATAAGAAATGTGTTTGGAAATTTAAATACCTTTTAAAAAATTAAAAACAAACATACTCTCACAGCTTGAGGGTTTAAATGAACCATGTGCCAAGGAGCTGAGAAAGCTCCTACTTTGGGTTACATCCTGGGACCGCTAACGTTCCAAAGCTGCCCAGCTGGGCATTTCCGTGGCATTTGCATGTTCCATTCAGAAGCCATCTTAGCATATCCCGCACACAACACGGCTTTTCATGACAAATCACTGGTATGCCCCACAAAACTGCTGTGAAGTGTTGTTTTCAGCATAAAAGTTTTGAGTTTTAGGGCTCATGTCAAAATTAAGCATGTTCTGTGAAAGCTTAAATTAATCCTTCCAGTGAGTTGCCTTTAAACAAGTCTATCTTCGTTTTCCATCAGCTCAATTGTTTCTAAACACTTTGAAAACAAAAACCAAAAACCAAAAAACTTTGCAAGTACAGAACCGAACACAAAGATGCTGAATGCATTCTCTGTGACTTAATTCTATTTTCAGTCCATATTTTATATATACTCTATCCAGGAAATTTTCTCATTTAAATAGGGAGAAGTGATCTTTTTCAGTTAATTCCTTTCTTGTCATTTACAAATGTTGACTATCATGCTGAATGTGGATATCCACCAGGAACCAATGGAAAAAGTTTAATTTATCAATGATCATAAAAATCTTTTTATGCATTCCTTAAATACTCTGGATGCTGATTTAATATATAAACATATTTGTACAAGTTATTCTTCATCTTCAAAACACTTTGTAATTTCACTTAAATAACACAAATGAGTAATTATTTAAAAATATTTTTCATCATTTTACAAAATATATCTTTATGGTATTGTTTTTGGATCTTCCTTGATCTGTCATTTTCCAAATGATTAATCCCTGATGGATTACATAAAGTTATGTGACTATATCTTTAACTGTAATAATAAATTTCTTGTCACATATTTGAGGCAAACCTGAGGATAGATCATCGAATAATTGTTATTTTTTTCCTTCCTCCTGTAAAATATGTCATTTCTCCATTTTCTTCTTTAGTGGTCTTTTGAAGAATCCAATCTGTTGAGAAAATACCAAACATAACACCATTAATTATTTGAATTTAGATAATAAGTACTAATTTCCTTGGATAAAATTTAATACTACGTTAGTGATTCTGGGCACTCAAATAATTAATATAATTGAGATTTTTTTTCATTGACCTATTAAGTAATATTGACTGTCAAGAAATGACATTTATCAAATTGCTATTTCATTTTAAAAACTTTTCTGTTGATTAAATATATCATGTCTCCTAGTAAAAACTAGTACATGTGGTTTTTACTAGTACTAGGGAAAATATTTGGAAGGACATATAAACTACAGTTAGCTGGCATTAAATGGCACTTTGCCATCATCTTTTTTCTCAGGGATGTGGCAGAGAAATTCCATCAAATAACTGATGGTCATAAATTGAGGTCGTTAGAGCTGGGGGCGGAAACTGGCACATGCATCATGGCCGAGGGTGGGGGAGATTTGAGTTGCCTGGATTCACTTTAAATGTGTTAGGACATCTGCCTTTATAGGCTTGACAGGAAGTGCCTCTTGAAAACGTGCTGTATCATTTGGATATGAAAAGGAACTCACTGAACATAGAAGAAATTTCACGAAGGGGTGAACGTGGGTTACTTTTCACTATACTTTGTAATTTGGGTCATTATAAAAATTGTAAGTGCTTTATTTATTTCCTATTGTACATTATAATAAAAATAAGTATAGGGGCTGGAAGGGACCTTTTTAATAATCTCATCTAAAATGTGGGTATTTTAAATAAAAGGAAATTAAGCATCCTAGAGAAGTGTTTTTTTAAGTCCGTGTATTTTTTTTTTTATTTGAGAGTGGATTATAATAGTTCAAGCAGACAATGAGTTAATTCTTTGAAAGTATAGTACCTCCATATCATTTTAATAATGAAGCTATGGTGAATTATGCAAGAGAATGGTATATTTAAAAAAAATCATTATTGAATAATTGAGAGCTTAGATGGGATAAATGATCAAAATGCAGTTTTAAGCTACAGAAGGTAGCTTCTTCATGTCTTTCACCATGACAGGGCTTTATGTCTTCCATGATGCCAGAATCTAGTTGGTGGTAGATGAGGAAAAGGTGACAACAGAGAAATAAATGTGAAAAAACAATAAATTTGTCCTGCTTCGAGTGGCAGCTCTATGTCTCAGGATTTTTTCTTTGAGCCAACAATAAAAGTTCTGGATTCACAAACTATCAGTCTCCTTACCTTGTGCCTGCAGGTCCTGAGTTGAAAATAAATCCAACAAGGCTTTCACAGGAACAGGTGGTGAATGTAAGACTTTTCTCTCTCCTGTCCTGTCCTGCTCTCTCTCTTGTCCTTTCCCTCTCAAGTCTTTTTGCATCTTTTCAACCTTCCTTTGCTTTCACATGCTAAATGTTCTATTTTATTTTTTATTTTTAAGACTTATTTATTTGAGAGAGAGAGAGCGAGCGAGTAGTAGGGGTAGGGGAGAGGGGCAGAGGGAGGGGGAGAGAGAGAATCCCAAGCAGATTCTCTGCTGAGCATGGAGTCCCATGCATGGCTCCATCTCACAACCCTGAGATCATGACCTAAGCTGAAATCAAGAGTTGGACGCTCAACTGACTGAGCCACTCAGGCACCCCTAAGTGCTCTATTTTAAAACTAAATTGTGTTATCTGAACTTTTCCACTCAACTAATTCTATTAACATGGGTTGTTAGTGGAAGTTGGGTCATAAGAATGGAGACTAGGTGAATGCACTACATAGCTTCACACTGGCTGGGCCAATACTAGCTAAAATTAAAAATGAGTTAAGTTTGTTTTCAGTGCCCAGACTTACAACTTTAACTTTCCTTCTTTGCCTTTCCATATTTACTTATCAGTAAGTGCTAGATCTTATTTATGCTTATCCCTAGTTCAAAACCCTATGGCAAAGGGTCAGATTCAACAGTACCTGGTAGAAATTACGGGCTTACTGACTATAATATGGAATAAATGTTGAATGAATAAATTTAACTAATATATAAAAGACTAAAAAATGGTGGCGCTATTCCCCATCCACATCCACCAAGGATATGTATATTGGATGAGGAATAAAGCTTTCGGATTAGTAAATAAAACGTCAGTGATGGAACTTCAGCCATTAGTATGAAATCAAGTTAAGAGAGAAAAACGTTCTGCTTTCTTAGGGCTTCTCTGTGGGCTGAGTCTCATTTCAATCTATTGGTTATATTGGCCTGACTGGGCTTCTCCCTCAATGTGTGGTACTATATTCCAGAATGTGTTTCTCAATCTATTTAAACCTGTGCCCTCTAAAAGCCTTCTCTCTTCAATATTAAGTATAACAAGCTACTACTAACATTTTGAAAAACTTTAATTTCTACCATGTGTACTGCAAGGATAAATTATATAAAGACAGTGCTTTTTGAAATAGAGTCACAGCTCCAGGAAGGATCTTTGGCCTGTTCCCTGTATGGACCCTGGGAGTTCCAATGAATTTCCAGAGTGGTCAGATTTTGTTGTTGTTGTTGTTATTTTAATTTTTAAGTTTTATTTATTTATTTGAGAGAGAGATAGTGAGAGAGAGAGAGAGAGCACGAGCAGGGGAGGAGGGAGAAGCAGGCTCCCCGTCCAGTAGGGAGCCTGATGTGGGGCTTGATCCCTGATGCAGGGCTTGATCCCAGGACTCTGGGATCATGACCTGAGCCGAAAGCAGACGCTTAACCGACTGAGCCACCCAGGTGCCCCAGAGTGGTCAGATTTGGAAGAAGGAGGAAGAAGGGATAGTCCTGAGGTTTCTGCTCCAGGTCTAGTAAGTATAAAAAAAGTCCCTGGGTAGCTCTTCTGAGTCTTCTGCAGACCAAATACATGCTTCAGGGAAGTTCCATATGGCTTTAAGCAGGTGGAGGGGCAATTAATATTTTTAGTATAATGGAGCTGCTGAAAGTCTGAATCCAACTAGGGACTCTCATTCCAAAACAAAATGTTTTTATACATTTCAGAGAGTTCATGACCCTCTTGAACAAAACCCAATTCCTGGAGCTCCAGAATAAAGAGCCCTGCCTAGAGGTTTCTAGCAGTGAGAGATACTGGAAAAGGATGGGCTTTGCTGATAGATCTTTGCTTGCATCCAGTCCTTTACTAGCTGGTAATCTTGGGAGAGTTACTTAGCTTCTCTTTGCTTTAATGTCCTCAAATATAACATGTAGTTAATATACTTTGTTGAAAAGGTTGTAAGCACAACAGAGTGAATAAAAGCAAGAGGGAACACAAAGCAAGGGGTTAACAGTGTTGGCAAGGAAGTAAAATGGTCCAGATTTAGGTCCTTACTCTGAATCTGATAAACCATGTGGCCTTGGGGAACATATTTAACTCTTGTACGTCCCAGCATCTCATTAATAAAATGAGGTTCATAGTCGTGTCTTTCTCAGAGGGCTGATGTTAACATTAAAGTGGAAAAGTTTAAAACAGTTCCTGGCATGTAGAAAGCATTCGGTATGTCCTAATTCTCTTCCCTCCCTAATTCTCTTCTCTTCCCCCTCCCTGTGGAGTCGCGGATCTGATCACTGGATCTCCCACTGAAGTGGTTGAACTAACTGCACCTACTGGTCAGAACAGTCCAAAGGTTGCTAAATGACCTTCCTTCCTGGGCCTAAAGGGATCCAAGAAGTCAGCAGAACGTATTAACAAAACATTTACTGGATGGAAGAATGTGTTTATTTTTACCTTTATGCTTCTTCAGACCGGTGACCAAAAAAACTAGATGAATAAAACTTAATTGTTTTAAGCAGAGATACGCCACCAGAGAAAATCTATCCAAATGTCAGCTCTGGCTTTCCTTTTTTCTTGTCAGCTGTCTCCTAAAACTACATGGGCAAGTGCAGTGCTCAGAATAGAAAAGCACACTGAAAGAAATCCGTAAAATGCTCTCTGGAATAGAGGTGCATCTAAGTGAAGAAACCACATTCTTTGTTTCAAGCACAACCTCGACACCACTAAAACAGGTCTTGGGGACCACGGTGTGGCAAAGCCAGGTATTACAGACAGAGCACTGATGATCCTGCAGTGTAGAAGGAGCTGTAGGTTTGAGAAAGCCAGGAATTCTTAGAGACTTCGCGAGAGAAAAGCTATGGTTTCTATTTACTGAACTAAATGTTACTGACCTACACCTTTAACATGGCTTTGTTTATCATCCTCTCTGAGTGCAATCCCCCCAAAAGAGGAAGTTAGGCATTGTAAGCGAGTCAAAGGGTAGAACTGTTGGCAATTTGGTGGGACAGAAATTTATTATTTAAACTATTTGATTAAAGAGAATTCTGCTGCCCAGGTATTAGAAAAAAACGAGTATGTAACCACAACCTGTATTTTTAACAGAGTTTAGCTATTTAATAAAGCAATTTGGTAAAATATAGGGTGGTATTATGTTAGAATTAATACCAATTTGATGTTTCATTGGAAAAAAACATTAAATTCAACTTTTTGATAGGATTTTGTTCTCTATTAAATTTAGTGTAAATTCTGTCATCTCAGTTCTGCTTAATTTGAAAGTGATACAGCTAAGAGTTTGAAAAATCTCACACACCTCAGTATAAGCAAAATATCTATGTAAATATATGGATTTATCCAATAGAAATAGTTTTACAAGAGGATTTGAAATAGGAGTCAGTAAAACAGTAAGATTTCTCTTTCATCAACTAAGTAATAAATTTATCCTCTCTCAGGCACACAGCTATTGCATAAAATGTGGCATATTTCTTCATATATTAAAGAAATCTTAGTTTTTAAGATACATAGAGATATGTATTTGGACAAGGCTCATCTTAACCATTCTATTGTTTATATATTCTTAAACTGATATAAGAATTCATTTTGTTCTTTTTTTATAAAAGAGAGTTTTCATTCTTCTTTATTTATAAAAGTAATGCATACTTAATTTATAATTCTCAATGTTATAGACATATAAAGGTCTTTTACAATCCCAGTCTCCAGAGAGATCCATCATGATTTTTGGATTTGTTTATTTATTTTTTTCTTTTACAAAACTGGGATCGAGTTGTGCGCAGTGTTTGGGATATACATTTTTTTCTTTTGTCTTGGTCATCACCTCAATATTTTTAATGGTTGTATAATACCATATTACACAGCATGGATAAATAATAACTTATTTCACCAATTTGCTGTTGATAGTTGAAATAGAAAGTCAAAGGAACTTTGGTGCTTACCTTCCACAGTGCTAATATGAGCAGCATTAATAGCAATAATCCAGCAAAAGCACTCAATAGGATGACCCATAATGGCACTCTGCCTGGCAGTCCATCTTTGGATATTTGAATAGCAAACTGAAATATATTAAGCAAGACTGTTAACATTGATAAACACCTCTACAACTCTTGGTACATTGAGTTCTTGCAGGCTATAATTTTCTACCAAACAATGTACTTAATCTGATTACTACATACAGAGAAAACCTTGAATTTACATTTAAAAATGTCCATCTATTGAAAATCTCTAAGCATGTCAAATTTATTATTACCCAAAATATTTATAATCTTATGCTCTAGAAATGTACACATAAAGAGTAAACTGTCCATGAATCAGAATGCTTTTAACTCAGTGAGAACCAAAAGTATTACATATTTTAAGGATTTATTGATTGACTTTAGTGCATTATCATGGTGGTAAAAGTTTAGGCTGGAGCGTTACCATAGGTTGTTGACATAATCAACCTGAGTAGGTCGTCTTCTAATTCTAATTTTCATGTGTTTTATTTTTTGTCTACAAATTTACATATAATTTTCATATGATAAAATGCACAAATCTCAAGTAGACAGATAACATGAATTTTTGCACATACATTCACCTCTATGTATTTTTATTAGACTGCACTGTCTCTGCCAGTCGACTTCTCTTCAGTCTATATATTAGGTCTTAACTGAAGGAAAACTTTGAGGTAAACAGCTTTAGTGTTGCAGCTACTCAATGCGGCACCCAAACCGCAGCGAGACTTGTCTGCGCTGGGTCTCATCCCAAGGTCTCTGAGAAAAAAACTAATTCAGTGTAGATCTCAATGACTAATGATAGCTCACGTTTCTGTGTTTGCTTGTCGGAGGGAACATCTCAATTCCTAAAGCTAGAGGGAAGACTGGAGGTAAAAAAGAGAACAGGGGAGATATTTATATATATTGGCTGCTGGACAAACTCCTCAGATGGCGACGGGTGAGTCACTGCTGATGCTTTGGGGACACAGAGCCGGCATGAATGTACATATGTACAGAATAAGTTCTTAGAAGACAGATTTCAAATACATCTAAAACAATTCCCTGAACTGATAGATACAGAAGCTGAACTCTGGATGGGATCAGTGACTTCTCTAAGATCACACAATTACAAAATGATCACTTCTAGTAATTTTAATGATGTAGGTATAATTTTCTTTTGGGATAAGATGTTGAATAATAGTTCCGTGGGGAATTTTAAGCTAACATTTAGGGGAAATAAAGCTAGTTATAAAATTTCAACAAAACATATCCAGGAATCAAAAGCACTCTTTTCCAATATAATTTATACTCAGTTTTGGGGGGGCGGTGCTTACTGGTAAAATTTTGGCTTCTCTGCATGTGGAACAACTTTGCATTTATCAGTGTTCTTTATAATGTAAGTAAACATTATATGCATATGTTCTTTAAAGGTGAATACCTACCAGGGGTCATTGACACTGGAATTATTTGAGATAAGTATTAATTTGAAATAAGAAATTTTTAAACAACATCTGAATGTTACATAGCTTCCAAATAAAATTATATGACTCATACTATCCGCATGGGACATTTAAACTCTCCCATGATAAGAGGAGAAATGCTTACATATCCACATCTGTAATAAGTATTCTGGCCTTATTTTATAATAAAACAGGAGGAAAAACATCAAACCATTTTATTTTTACCAAGGACTGAAGTGTGAATTTGTATGAGGGAATTATATTTCATTTTTGCTTCAGATTTCCCAATGACTAAATGAAGAAAACCTTTCAAAATTTACATTTATTTCTGTACAGTGTACACTTTCTGTAAAGTGTTTTTCAAGTCTGCTCTTCAGATGTCAACTGCATTTTATAATGTAAGTTTTTAAGGAGGAAAATCACAAATGCATCATTTGTTATCAAGGTGAAAGTAAAAACACCAATTTATTGTGATAGTTACAAGCGGTAAAGTCAAACATGGCATGTTAATTGTAAATATCATGGTTTTTCCCAGTTTCTTACAAAGAAGATTGAAATCACACTTGAAGCTAATTAAGTATAATTTGAAGCAAAAAGTGTCTGTTACTTAGTGACTAGCTAGTCACTGCTTTAGGTTCTATAAGCAATTATAAAACATTATGTCACAAAATTCGGAGTGAAATGTATAATGTTTTCAAAACTTAGAGTTGCTCTTACCTCTCTTTTTTGATTGCCAGTACTTAAAATCAGTGATGTATTTTCACTCTGAAGGTCTGCCCTTACAGTAAGATTTAAGCTGGAAAAACGTGCCTGAAAAGCAAACAGGATTTATTTTCAATATATTATGCTAATCAAAGTGAGGGCTAGTCATATTTGAGTAGTGCAATTTTTAAAATCTAGATTTTCCTGAGAGACTTAAAAACACTGGTTTTGCTAACATCCAAATGGAACTGGTAGTTTCAAATGATGACCCATCCCTCTTCTCCCCACTCAAATTGTCACTTAGGTCCTTGTTATAGAATGAAACAATTCTATATCATTTTCTCCAGATTTATCCTTAGCAAAAACAAATCTCAAACCCTGCCCCCCTTTCATATAGCTAGGTATGAAATAGCTACACTCTGGCAATGAAGTTTATATAGGAGTTTGTGCAGGATTAAACATGAAATTGCCAATATCCAACAGTTTGTGATTTATAAAAATTGTAACTTGATATGATCGAACCTAAAAATTGGAAATTTCATATAATTAACTAAACACTTCTAAGAGAGAAAGAAACCATACAAAATACAATGGATTAAGTTTTTTTTAAATTTTTTATTGTTATGTTAATCACCATACATTACATCATTAGTTTTTGATGTAGTGTTCCATGATTCATTGTTTGTGCATAACACCCAGTGCTCCATGCAGAACGTGCCCTCCTCAATACCCATCACCAGGCTAACCCATCCTCCCACCCCCCTCCCCTCTAGAACCCTCGGTTTGTTTTTCAGAGTCCATCGTCTCTCATGGTTCGTCTCCCCCTCCGATTTCCCCCCTTTCATTCTTCCCCTCCTGCTATCTTCTTCTTTTTTTTTTCTTAACATATAATGTATTATTTGTTTCAGAGGTACAGATCTGTGATTCAACAGTCTTGCACAATTCACAGCGCTCACCACAGCACATACCTTCCCCAGTGTCTATCACCCAGCCACCCCATCCCTCCCACTCCAACCCCCACTCCAGCAACCCTCAGTTTGTTACATTGGATTAAGTTTTAAAGTAGCTTGTTGTCAGACAGATTTGACTATTGGGAGCTAAAAAATGTCCTCCTATTTTATATATATACATATATATGTGTGCATATATATATATATAAATGTGTGTATATACATAGTATACATAAATGTGTGTCATATATATACATATATATATGTAAAATCTGATCTAATACAGTGAGTCCATAATACATGTTAGCTCTATTGTTAATGGTGTCAAGGAGTCAAGCACTGTCTCTCTATAATTCTTTGTCCCTTAACTGAGTTCTACAGCATTAAGATAAATGCAAACTTTGATACTGTATAGGTGTTTATTTCTAGAGGTACAAAAAAAAAAAAAAAAAAGAATAAGAGAGCCTGAGAAAAAAGTATCATCTGGAAGGAGACCTTGGAGATAACTTCGTTACTAATAAACAAGGAAAATGAGACCCAAATAGTTGGTTAAGTAGAGCTGGGGCTTGGACCACATTTTTTTACACTTCCAGTTCTTTCTACAGAAGCACTGTGCTTTGCATATACTAAGTAATGAGCAAATATTTGTCAACATAATTCAATAATTACAGAGAACAATGCAATCACTTACTTTTATAAAAGTTGGTTTCCATAAGATAAGTGAAACATTCACTTGGCTTATGTCAGAAGGAATCAATGTACACGTAATGGTAGCAAATTTACACGTACTGCAGTCCTGTTTAAACGTTCAGAGGTATATATTAGTATCTTTGCCATTTGACAAAAAGATACCATATTATTCTATAAGATAGCTATTTTTAGGTTGAAAATGAATTTATTCACTTAAAAAGCATGAGATAAAACAAGCACTTGTCTTGGTTATCTGAATTTACCGGAATTGTGCCTCGTTTGAGATCTTCAGGTTTGGATATAATCGTTTTCTTCCCAGAGTTGACACCAAGAGGGTCCTGAAGGCTACTGGGTCTGCAGTTTGCATTCTAAAAAGTGAAAATATTTGTTTTATCAGACAATGCCAGGTGTCAGAGGGAAAAATGACTCGGTACAATAAGGTGAAGAATCTGACAGCCATTGTCACAGATGAAAGATCCATCTTCAGGAGTGTGCAATATGGAAGAAGCTGTTCTGTAGCATCCATATACACCCACTCCCAGATAAAAATTACTGTTAGAATGCTACTTTTGAATTGTAATAGATATCAGGGAGGTTGTTATCAAAAAGGAAGGATGTGGGGCGCCTGGGTGGCTCAGGCATTGAGCGTCTGCCTTCGGCTCAGGTCATGATTCCAGGGTCCTGGGATTGAGCCCCGCATCCGGCTCCGTGCTCTGCAGGAAGCCTGCTTCTCCCTCTCCCATTTCCCCTGCTTGTGTTCCCTCTCTCGCTGTGTCTCTCTGTCAAATAAATAAATAAAATCTTTAAAAAAACAAAACAAAAAGGAAGGATGCTAGTGGAACTTACTATTGCATAACATAACTCATTAATTTATTGTTTTCATCAAACATTAGTTATTAATTCCCATAATACAGAGAGAGAAAAGAAATTAAAACTATACTAAAAAAAAAGGTTAGCATTTGTTATTCATTATGTTGGCTCATACAATGGTTTGTGAAACAAAAAAAAAGAGAGGGGCTTTCATCTGTATTTGTGTATTCATCCAATAATATTTTAGGAGTCTCTAAACACCAAGGGTAAGATAATTGGTCTATGTGGAAAGAAGATGTAAGTAAGCAGCCCTATAAATGTTAAGATGCCATGTTTGTAAGACAGCTCGTTCTTGGATTGTTTTACTAGACTTACTCTAATAAACCTTTCGTTCATCAAGACTCTCTACATCCTTGATAAAAGGTAATAAGGATAAAGTTCATAAGTAATAAGAAAAGTACAATTTTAGTCTTCCTACATCTTCACAAACCTGCTTTTTTGGATTAGAGAGAAATGGTAGAGGTTTAATTTTTCCTTGCCTTTAGGGAAACATTTAAAGATTATAATCCAACTATCACTGTTTCTACTTCTTGATTTTTGAGAGTATTTTAACTTAAAAAAAATCTCTGAAGACAGATTGTCAAATGCTGATAATATGCATGCATTACTTCAATATTTATTGTGATTTTCTATGTCTTAGAGACTGAACCATAACAATTTACCACATTGACTCATTCAAAGCTATAGATACAAAGTGATATTGCTATTGTTTGGGATAAGTGAGTAAAGAGTACTGTACTGTTTTATGTGCAGCTGTGTGTGCACTTAGGAGCAATTAAAAAGTCTCTTTATAGAGCTCTTTGATCATCTCAAACAAATTAAAGCTGTAACAAACATTTTAAGGCACAAGTCAACAAGTAGTTATCTAAAATCTACTGCAGTGGATTGGATAGTATTCCAAAAAGACATGCCCAAGTCCTAGCACCTGGAACCTGTGAATGTGACCTTATGTGGAAAAAGGGTGATTTTGGGGCGCCTGCGTGGCTCAGTTGGCTAAGTGTCTGCCTTCAGCTCAGGTCATGATCTCCAGATCCTGGGATCCAGCCCAGTGTGGGGCTCCCTGTTCAGTGGGGAGTCTGCTCCTCCCTCTGCCGCTCCCCCTGCTAGTGCTCTCTCTCTCTCTCCCTCCCTCTCAGATAAATAAACAAAATCTTAAAAAAAAAAAAAAAAGGAAAAAGGAAACAGTGTCATTGCAGATGTAATTAAGGCTCTCCAGATGAGGTCCTTCTATTTAGGATGGGCTCTAAATTCACTGATGAATGTGCTATATGAGACAGAAGAGGCAAAGACCCAGAAACTCAAGGAAGACAGGCATGCGAAGACAGAGGCAGAGACTGCATGCAGTTCTGCTGCCACAAGCTAAGGCATGCCAAGGGTTGACAGCAGCCCCCAGAAGCTAAGAGAGAGGCATGGAACAGATTCTCCCTGTGAGCCTCCGCAGGGAACGAACATTGTTGACACCTTGATTGTAGACTCTGGCCTCCAGGACTGTGAAAGAATAAATTTCTGTTGTTTCTAGCCACCCAGTTGGGTAATTTATTAGCACAGCAGTTGTAGGAAACTAATACATCTACTAAGTAGCCAGTGGAAATTGTTATTATTATTTAAAATTTTCTAAATGCTTCTCCATGTCACTTTGGTAAAGCTCTTTATCACAACTGGCATGCAGAACAAAAGGGTTTAAATACAAACTGAAAAAGATAATTAATTATGATGTAATTCCAAGGTACACATTACTTACATTAGAAGACGACCATCCACTTGGGTATAGCACAGGATAACCATTTGATGTCAAGTTGGGAAACGAAATTGACAGTTTAAGTTCTGGCATTGGAAAATGTCCACTCTTTCTAATCTACAAGAAAGAAAAATAAAAATGTAACCTCTCTTCCTCTTCCAACAGCATCCTTTCTGTATTAGGTAGGACATCTGTTCTTAATTGATGAATTAAGTTGTGTAATATTTTGAATCTGAAAATGAATGCAGGCAATTTACGGCACTGGATAGAGAACTGGCATAATTAAACAAGCAAAAAATAGGGATGTTTAATAGTGGCCGTATGCATCAGCTATAATGTATATTGTTTCTTCATCCTCCTACTCCCAAAGTAGGACTGGGATTAAGGAAAATCAGAATTAAATTTCTTTATGCTCATCATCTTTTTGGACATACTGGTCTTTTTGGAGGTGGGAAGGAGGGAGAACATTTACTTGATCCACTCAGAACAGGTGAACATATTTTGTTTGCCTCAACCAGCTTGCCATAACTCCTTAAACCCACAAATCATTTCTCAGCCCAGCCACATGGGATCTGCCACCACTGCACAGACAAACCAGATACCCATACGCTTCCCTTCACTATTTTACCTCCAGCTAAGGCTACTGTGTCAATAATGATTGTTGATCCAGTTGGATGAGAGTCACATTGATTCTCCTTTCAATGCCCATCTGCTTTTATCCACTAAACTACAATTCCTGCTTAATATCACATCATGCCGCCAATGGTGAGTGTAGCTCATAGGGAAGGAAAGCCAGGCAGGATGAAATTCAGCAGAAAGCTGAATTTGCTATTCAAAAGTCCTCACAAGTAGAAGAGATGCAATGGAATTGGAGCAGCCAGATGCTATGGCCCTTCCTTCTTCCCACTCAAGCATAATTTCCAGGACCTATACCTTCTTCACACCCTCCCTAGGCTGAATTCTTAGGTGAGTAGGGAGCTTCTTAATTGACAGACGCCAGAAAATCCAACTGATCTATCTAATTGAGCCTTCTGGACTGGGAGTTACACAGTAAGCAATTCCCTGTGTTTGCCTAAAACTAAATGCATCCCTTAATCTTGGAATTCTAGGAATTTCTGACCAGCTCTGCCTGGCCTCTTAATCATGCTCCTTGACTCTTGCCCCTTCTTATAGTAATATGTCTTAAAATTGCCTGCCATGGCCTCCCACTCTAATTCCATCTGTTTTCTGCTAAAGAATAAAAAATCATGTAATCTGTAATTAACATTTATTTTTTCTGATTAAAAACAATGTTATTTACAGAAACATTGGAAAATATTGAAAATAAACAGGAAGTAAGTTTTCTATAATTCTACTACATTGGTAACACTTTAGTGTACAACTTACCTGTCTATCATATATGTATATATTATATACATATATATTATAAAATATGTATCATATAAAATACAAGATTTGGCACCCCACTTATAAAATGTATTGTCATGGTGTTTTCCCATAAACTTAGAGATTCTTTGAGAATATGACTTTCATTAGCTGCTTAATAATAACCACAGTATCAATATTTATTTATGTTCAACATTTATTTATATTCTAGACACTGTGCTAATTTTCTTACTTGCATTATTGCCTTTAATGCTGTTAACAGCCTTATGAGGTAGATTCTCTTAATATCCCTATTTTACCTATAAGGAAACAAGGTTAGAATGAGAATGAAGAACTTCCAAAATCACAGAGCTAGTAAATAGCAGAATTAACTTTTTTTTTTAAATCTAAAATGTGCCCTCTTTAGCTGTCTTTCCATTGAATAACTATCTGATAATTTATTTAAGCAATTATATGTGGTTAAACTTTTAGATTGTGTCCAGGTTTCAATTTTTAAACTATAAATGACACTGATAACAGTATCTCCCAGGGGTGCCTGGCTGGCTCAGTCAGAAGAGCATGTGACTCTTGATCTTGGGGTCATGATTTTGAGTCCCATGCTGGGTGTAGAGATTACTTAAAAATAAATAAATAAATAAGTAAGTACATAAATAAATAAAAAAGTATCTCTGAGAATAAATCTTTGTATCACCAATAATTTTCTATGGTACATTTTAAGCAATAAATTCATTTACTGGGTCTCACCTAAGAAAATGTTCATATTATTTTTCAATTCTATTACTCCAATTTTTTATTTTATCTCAGCAAAATAATAAGGTACAAAGGATTATGGTCAGGGGTATTCTTTTTCTTTTTTAATTTAATTTTATTATGTTATGTTAATCACCATGCATTACATCATTAGCTTTTGATGTAATGTTCCATGATTCATTATTTGCGTATAACACCCAGTGCTCCATTCAATATGTGCCCTTTTTAATACCCATCACCAGGCTAACCCATCTCCCAACCCCCTCCCCTCTAGAACCCTCAGTTTGTTTCTCAGAGTCCATAGTCTCTCATGGTTCATCCCCCCGTTCTGATTCCCCCCCTTCATTTTTCCCTTCCTACTCTCTTCTTCTTCTTCTTCTTTTTTTTTTTTTTTAACATATACTGTATTATTTGCTTCAGAGGTACAGGTCTGTGATTCCTCAGTCTTAGACAATTCACAGCGTTCACCATAGTGCACACCCTCCCGAATGTCTATCACCCAGCCACCCCATCCCTCCCCACCCCCACTCCAGCAACCCTCACTTTGTTTCCTGAGATTAAGAATTCCTCGTATCAGTGAGATCATATGATACTTGTCTTTCTCTGATTGACTTATTTCACTTAGCATAATACCCTCTGGTTCCATCCATGTCATTGCAAATGGCAAGATTTCGTTTTTTTGATGGCTGCATAATATTCCATTGCATATATATACACCACATCTTCTTTATCCATTCATCTGTTGAAGGACATCTTGGCTCTTTCCATAGTTTGGCTATTGTAGACATTTCTGCTATAAACACTGGGGTGCACGTACCCCTTCAGATCACTTCATTTGTATCTTTGGGGTAAATACCCAGTAGTGCAATTGCTGGGTCGTACAGTAGCTCTATTTTCAACTTTTTGAGGAACCTCTGTACTGTTTTCCGGAGTGGCTGCACCAGCTTGCATTCCCACCAACAGTGTAGGAGGGTTCCCCTTTCTCTGCTTCCTTGCCAACATCTGTTGTTTCCTGACTTGTTAATTTTAGCCATTCTGACTGGTGTGAGTTGGTATCTCATTGAGGTTTTGATATGGATTTCCCTGAAGCTGAGTGATGTCGAGTAAGTTTTCATGTGTCTGTTGGCCATTTGGATGTCTTCTTTGGAAAAATGTCTGTTCATGTCTTCTGCCCATTTCTTGATTGGATCATTTGTTCTTTGGGTGTTGAGTTTGGTAAGTTCACTATATATTTTGGATACTAGCCCTTTATCTGATATGTCATTTGCAAATATCTTCTCCCATTCTGACGGTTGTCTTTTGGTTTTGTTGACTGTTTCCTTTGCTGTGCAAAAGCTTTTTATCTTGATGAAGTCCCAATAGTTCATTTTTGCCCCTGCTTCCCTTGCCTTTAGCAATGTTTCTAGGAAGAAGTTGCTGCGGCTGAGGTCAAAGAGGTTGCTGCCTGTGTTCTCTCCTTTAGGATTTTGATGGACTCCTGTCTCGCATTTAGGTCTTTCACCCATTTTGAGTCTATTTTTGTGTGTGGTGTAAGGAAATGGTCCAGTTTCATTCTTCTGCATGTGGCTGTCCAATTTTCCCAACATCATTTGTTGAAGAGACTGTCTTTTTTCCATTGGACATTCTTTCCTGCTTTGTCAAAGATGAGTTGACCATAGAGTTGAAGGTCCATTTCTGGGCTCTCTATTCTGTTCCATTGATCTATGTGTCTGTTTTTGTGCCAGTACCATACTGTCTTGATGATGACAGCTTTGTAATAGAGCTTGAAGTCCAGAATTGTGATGCCACTGGCTTTGCTTTTCTTTTTCAACATTCCTCTGGCTATGCGGGGTCTTTTCTGGTTCCATACAAATTTTAGGATTATTTGTTCCATTTCTTTGAAAAAAGTTGATGGTATTTTGATGGGGATTGCACTGAATGTGTAGATTGCTCTAGGTAGCATAGACATCTTCACAATATTTGTTCTTCCAATCCATGAGCATGGAACGTTTTTCCATTTCTTTGTGTCTTCCTCAATTTCTTTCATGAGTATTTTATAGTTTTCTGAGTACAGATTCTTTGCCTTTTTGGTTAGATTTATTCCTAGGTATCTTATGGTTTTGGGTGCAATTGTAAATGGAATAGACTCCTTAATTTCTCTTTCTTCTATCTTGTTGTTGGTGCATAGAAATGCAACTGAATTCTGTGCATTGATTTTATATCCTGTCACTTTACTGAATTCCTGTATGAGTTCTAGCAGTTTTGGGGTGGAGTCTTTTGGGCTCCCCACATAAAGTATCATATCATCTGCAAAGAGTGAGAGTTTGACTTCTTTGCCGATTCGAATGTCTTTTATTTCTTTTTGTTGTCTGATTGTTGTGGCTAGGACTTCTAGTACAATGCTGAATAGCAGTAGTGATAGTGGACATCGGTCAGGGATTTTCTTAACAATGTTATTTATATCAACATTATTTATAATAGTTTGAGAGTACCTATTTCAAGTTTGGATCCTAGTAACAACATATGAATAGCTATAATATTCAAAATTCCTTCCTTCCTTCCTTCCTTCCTTTTCTTTTTCCTTCCTTTTTGTTGAATTCTTTAATCTGGGAAAAGCAAATGGGGCTAGAAGAACTTGGCAGCCAAAATTTCAAAAATTAATCTCAATAATAAGGTGATCCGCATTCATGCTAATTTCCAGGGTATAGCTTGTCATAGAAATTTTAGCAAAGAGCACAGAAAGAAAACAATGGAATGAATCTTGAGAGCATACATTTATTTCACTTTGTAAGAGAACTTCCCTTCCCACTACTGACAATTCGCAAATAGATTGAGACCATTTTCACCTAAAATACTGTTGCATTATTTCATACTTCTGAATACATATTTAAATCCATCATTTGAATTGGACCCTCTTTTACTTGAGTAATATTAACTTGAGTCTGTGTCTGTAAGTAGGCATTACCTAAAATGAAAGTCTGGTTTAACTTCATAATTGTTTGCTATAATGGTTAGGAAAAGTTCATTATGAGGAATTCAAAGAAAAGAATAAATTTATAGTAGAAAACATCACTTAAGGATGTGGTAGGAGGAACATAAGTTATAGTATGATACCTATGGAAGGTTGCAATGAGCAGAATGAGATACATATTTATTTGTTGAGTAAAGTAAAATATTACCAAGACATTTGAAGTAGTCAACTTCTGAAATAGTCATAATTATTTTTTTAAAAGTGCTTTGCTCCCTCATACTGAAAACATAATGTAAATAAAGTCTATAGGCTTATAGGTAGTGTCTCTTTGGTTTTATAAGTTTGTTTTTTCTAGGAACTCATTCTAAGCATGTGTTAGGAGGAAATTAGAGACTTAGGTTTTTAAAATTGCTTCAAAGTATAATTATCAACAATTCTTTAAATAAAATTACTTCAAAATAGTGAAATTATAAAAAAATATTCTGGAATATAAAGATTAACTGTTGAATCAACATGTTTCTATGTGTCTGTTAATACTTTCATTTAATTTATAAACTTATAAATTACTCCTTGGCAATAATAATTTAGAGGTAGTTTCTTACCAAATAGAAGATATTAATTTCATCTCCAATGTCCTCAGTAGAATTAATAACTTCAGGGACAGTCTCATTGGCTGCAAATGAAATATGGTATTCGCTTGCAGAGCTTAGAATTAATTGGAAGAAGAAAAACAAAACACAACAAAGTTTAACTTTTATTTGACCTTACTCTTTTTCTTTCTTTATACCAGGTAATCCCACAAAAAAATACTTGTAGAAATTTCAAATCAGAGGCAAATTCTTTTACCCTGAAACCTACAATTAAATCTTTGAGGAGGGTGAGAAAGATGATATAATTTAGTTCAATAAGTTACTGATGCTTATTTGGCCTTAAAATGCCAAAATATGTACAGTTTTTAAAATAAAATTTCATTGTTACCGAGTGAAAAGTTTCCATTAATTCACTAATATCATTTACATTTTGTAAATAATGAGGCTAAAATTTAGTATTTTTAGTAGTGCTGAATTTTAAATAGATTTAAAAAAATTGTTAACCTTTTCACATTAAAGGCCTATATTTACTGCTAAACTTAAAAATTCAATCTTTCCTGTACAACTTCTCCATGTTCTTTGGATGAACTTGGTGGAATGAAGTATAATAAAAATATATAGGTGTTTGCCAAAATTTGATTTTAATAAAATGAAAAATTCTTGGAAAAAAGTCATTGTACCAAGAGAAGTGGATAACAGCAAGATAGAAAACAGCAAACAGAATTTGGAGGCTAAGGAATATATACAAAATCTATGTGTATATCCTATTATCCTCTCAAGCTTGTTATCAGAAAAAGCAAAGTTCCATAGAAAATAAATTAATAAAATGATAAGATTTTTAGACTAAGCTTGTCTCTGTTCTTGTACTTTTTATATACATTGCACATATTTTTTTAGCAAAAGCTTGGAGTCTTGCTTAAGCAAGGGAATTTATAGTGGGAAACGTTGCCAATATGATTTGTGTTTGGATAGATTGAAAGTAGGGGAAAGAACAATTTATGAATAATGCAAGAAATAAACAGCCTCGTTAATAAGAAATGATTTAATCTTGTGTGTCCAGAATGGGCAGGCTGATCAGATCCCTCACAATGAGAAATGATAGCTAAGAAATATGCTGGTGACCTCTAAGAACACTGCCATTTGTAAAGTACTTCGTCTAGGTCTTCAGAGTTTAGACCAGATTGCTAATGAGTTTAGACTGGACTGCTAATGCAATCCAGCATCATTAGCACCTCACATCTAAGATTATTTAGCATGCTGGGTCTCAGACTTTAGAGTGCATAAAAATTACCCAGAGGGCCTGTTTAACACCGATTTCTGGGCCCCAGAGTTTCTGATTCAGTATATTGGGGTGAGGCCAAGAATTTGCCTAAGTTCCCAGGTGCTTCTGATGTCCTTGGCCAGGGACCACACTTTGAGAACCACTGGGTTTGTAGAAAGGCATCAACATAAAATGCATTTTCCTCCTACCTGTAAAACTGAAGTCCAACTTCATATTTTACTGGGATAGAAATGTTTACTTCATTATCAGAAAGGGTTTCAGGAGGTTCTTCACTGTCACTAGAAAATACATAGCATGTTCAGACAAATCATGAAACTATTGACTAGAGAACATTTCTGAGCATTTGAAAGGGAAGCTTATCTTGGCAACCAAATAAAAGCATAAAAGAGTAGAATTCTTGTTTTTGTGTTTTTTGTTTGTTTTGTTATTGTGGTTGTTTTTCAATCAGGGTGGGGAGGGAGGTCAGAAATGGGTATTATTAAATTTCCCAAGTTGATTCTGAATTGTAGCTAGGGTGAAAACCACACTGATATAGTCCAAGGTTTCTCAAACTTCTATGTGGATTATGGATAAAGTAACCTTGCGTCTTCCTAAGAAACAGCTAGCTCTGTATATACACTTCACCCCTCAAAAACTTTTCTGGCTCTTTATGGTTTGCTAAGAAAACATGTCTCATTCTGACATTCAGTACTCACCATAATATGGTAGGATGCACACCCCCTGTTTATCTTCATTACTCCTTTATGTATTCCCTATATTTGAGTTAAAATGGATTACCTGATATTCCCTCAGTAGACCTAGTGGTCCACCACTGAGTTTTTGCTCAAGCTGTATATTTTTCCTAAAATGCTCCACCTAATTCTATTTACCAACCTTTCTATGAATTGCTACTCACCCTTTAAGGTCCTTCTCAATTATAATCTCCTTGATAAAGTTTTCTTGGCATCTCATTGCCAAGTAGATATAATTTCAACCTCTATTAAGTCTCTGATACACAGTTTATATTTCTTTAATGAATTTTCCTTGTTTGTACCCTATATTATAATAATTTATATATTAGTCTTCTTAGCCTCCAACTATAATGTTTACTCCATGAAGTTCATGTCCTTATTAATTTTTATATTCCCTATAGTGACTAATTCAATATCTTGTCTGTAGTAGATATCAAATAAATATTTGTTGAGCTGGATTAAATTGAACATACAGAATTCATTTACCCATTAATTTATTTTCTCATTTATTCATTCATTCTACATTTATTCAGTGATTATTAGATGTGAGGCACCACACTAGCTACTGGGGAATAAAGCAACCAGAGATAGAACTTTATCTCAAGGAGTTTATGGTCCAGTGGATGATTACACTTAGAAGAAAGTTAAGACACTATTTCAATTTCCTTATTAGCCTTTTGTTATTTTTAGTCTGGGTATTCTATGATATATTTCAGAAGCTCTAACTGATTTGGATGAAATGTATTAAACTACAAAAGGGCATCATAAAACTTTAAGTCCATCAGTTGACCTTGATGGCAGTAAAAGTTAAATTAGCATTCCCATAAAATTTTAAATAAATTTAAATGCAATTTGGCAGATATAAGTGATGTGTGATTACAACATGTTTTACAGCTCATAGAACCAATGGTTTAATCTTGGTAGGTGCATTAATTCTATTAAATAAAAATTTATTTTTAGTTAATAATAAGGAGAGTTTTGTGAAGTACAGGGGTTCACTGCCTTCTGCTTTTACTGATCTCATAAAAACTCTAAGAAGTTCCAGTGAGTCTATAGAGCAAAATATTCTAAATACATAAAATTATATACTTACACATTTACATACACATACACTTATGCATACATATCAACCAACCTTGTTGCACTTAAATGAATGATCACATTTTCCATGAGATAAGATGTGTTAAACTGAAATAATATTTTGAAAGTAACCTATGAAATAAAAATATTTTTAGTTTAGTAACAGATAAAGAAGTAAAATGTTTACTTTGATCAAAATGTTTAATTACATTAATGATATTACCTATACTGAAATTGCAAAGTTATTTAAGAAGTATGACCTTAGACAATAAAACCTAATCATATCTCAAAAATAGAACAAGATATAACATAGATGTACTTTTAAATGTAAATATGTTATGCAAACAATGAATCATGGAACACTACATTAAAAACTAAAAAAAAAAAAATTAAATATGTTTTTAACTTTTCAGAAAAATATAAATCTTGGGGGGGGAGCAAGACTGCAGAGGAGTAGGAGACCTGGATTTTATCTGGTCCCAGGACTTCAGCTGGATAGGGATCAAACCATTCTGAACACCTACGAACTCAACAGGAGATCAAAGAAAGAAATAGCAACAACTCTCTGAACAGAAAAGCAACCACTTTCTGGAAGGTAGGACGTGCAGAGAAGTGAATCTCAGGCGATATTTGGGAGGCTAGATGGTGGGGGAGGGGGCCTCCATAGGCCTCTTCTGGCAAGTGATAGAGCTGCGGAGCACAAAATTGGAACTTTTAGAAGTCAGCTCCGCTGAGGGACCTCGCTCCAGTGGTTATGTGGGGGGTGGAACCCTCCTTGGGACGGTGTGGTCTCAGGACCCTGGGGTCACAGAAAGACAGGGGGTGCCTGAGTGTGGCAGAGCTCCCCCAGGTATCAGAGCAGGGAATCCAGCTGCAGAGATGGAGCTAAGGAGCAGGCTCTCAGCTCAGGGTTGCCATAAACTGTGATCTGCGGCACAGTCGGGCCACTACTCTTCCAGCAGGGACACAAAAAGCAGCAGATCAGGGAGACTCCCCTTCCTCCCCTGGGAGGAGCGGCGCAGGAGCCCACCACAGGGAACTGCTGGGTTTGGAGACTCCAGACGGGGTCGTGTGCCAGAGAGAAGTGCTTGGTCACAGGCCGGGTGGGCACGGAGTGCAGCCGGAGACTGGGGAGATGGGAGTGACTGACTGCTTTTCTCTGGGGGCTCACTGAGGAGCGGGGCCCTGAGTTCTTGGCTCCTCCGGGGTGGAGATTGGGAGGCCGCCATTTTCACTCTTGTCCTCCAAAGCTGTACGGAAAGCTTGCAGGGAACAAAAGCTCCCGAGAGCAAACCCAAGCAGATTACTTAGCCCGGACCAGGCAAGGGCGGGGCAATTCCGCCTCCGGCAAAGACATTTGGAAACCATGGCAACAGGTCCCTCCCCCACAAGATCAGCAAGAACAGCCAGCCAAGACTAAGTTTACTGATCAATGAGAACGGCAGAACTCCAGCACTAGGGGAATACTGCACATAGAATCCATGGCTTTTTTTTACCATGATTCATCAGTCTTTCCAAGTTAATTTTTTTAACTTTTTTTTTTAATTTTTCTTTTTCCCTTTTTCAACCAACAACTTATCAATCCCTTTTTTTAAAAAATATTTTTTTGTTTTTCATTTTTAGAGTCATATTCTATCCCTTCATAGTAGTTACCCTTATTTTTGGTATATATATATAAGTTGTTCTCTCTTTAAAATTTTGAGATACAGTTTCTTCTAACAGATCAAAATATACCCTAAATCTCTAGTATATGGCTTTGTTCTAGTCTCCTGCCTGATCACATTCTCTCCCCCTTTTTTTTAAAATCCTCTTCTTTCTATTTTCAACCAACTTCTTATCTTATCAATTCCTTTTATAAATTCTTTTAAAATTTTCATCTTTACAGTCATATTCCATCCCTTCATCGTATTAACCCTTATTTTTGTACATATATAAGTTTTTCTTTCTTTAAAATTTTGGGAGGCACTTTCTTCTAACAGACCAAAATATGCCCAAAATCTAATGTGTGGCACTGATCTATGCACCAGCCTGATCATATTTGATCATATTCTGTTTTTTTTTAAATCTTTTTTTTTTCCTTTTCTTTTTCTTTCTTTCCCTTTCTTTTCTCCTGGTTTCAGGTCTTTTCTGATTTGTTTAGTGTATATTTTCTGGGGACATTGTTACCCTGTTAGCATTTTGTTCTCTCATTCATCTATTCTCCTCTAGACAAAATGACAAGATGGAAAAAATCACCTCAACAAAAAGAACAAGAGGCAGGACCAACTGCCAGGGACCTAATCAATATGGACATTAGTAAGATGTTGGATGGGACCTAATCAATATGGACATTAGTAAGATGTTGGAACTAGATTTTAAAGATGCTAGCTAGGATTGAAAAAAGTATGAAAGTTATTAGAGAAACCCTTTCTGGAGAAATAAAAGAACTAAAATCTAACCAAGTCAAAATCAAAAAGGCTATTAATGAGGTGCAATAAAAATTGGAGGCTCTAGAGATGCCCTTCAACAGATGAATGGATAAAGAAGATGTGGCCCATATATACAATGGAATATTACTCAGCCATCAGAAAAAATGAATACCCAACTTTTACATCAACATGGATGGGACTGGAGATTATGCGAAGTGAAATAAGTCAAGCAGAGAAAGTCAATTATCATATGGTTTCACTTATTTGTGGAACATAAGGAATAACACGGAGGACATTAGGAGAAGGAAGGGAAAAATGGGCAGGGGGAATTGGAGGGAGAGATGAACCATGAGAGACTATGGACCTGAGAAACAAACAGGGTTTTAGAGGGGAGGGGGGATGGGGGATTTGTTAGCCCGGTGATGGGTATTAAGGAGGGCACGTACTGCATGGAGCACTAGGTGTTATACGAAAACAATGGATCATGGATCGCTACATCAAAAACTAATGATGTATTGTATGGTGACTAACATAACATAATAAAATTAAAAAAAAAAAGAATCACAAAGTAATCTTGCCTGACAAGCCGTAAAAACAAACAAACAAACAAACAAACAAACAAACAAAAAACCCCAAAAAACTGGAGGCTCTAACTGCTAGGATAAATGAGGCAGAAGAGAGAATTAGTGATATAGAAGACCAAATGATAGAAAATAAAGAAGCTGAGAAAAAGAGATAAACAACTACTGGATCACGAGGGTAGATTTCGAGAGATAAGTAATACCATAAGATGAAACAACATTAGAATAATTGGGGTCCCAGAAGAAGAAGAAAGAGAGAGAGGGGCAGAAGGTATATTGGAGCAAATTATAGCAGACAACTTCCCTAATTTGGGGAAGGAAACAGGCATCAAAATCCAGGAAGCACAGAGAACCCCTCTCAAAATCAATAAAAATAGGTCAACACCCTGACATCTAATAGTAAAACTCACAAGTCTCAGAGACAAAGAAAATCCTGAAAGCAGCTGAGGACAAGAGATATGTAACCTACAATGGTAGAAACATTAGATTGGCAACAGACATATCCACAGAGACCTGGCAGGCCAGAAAGGACTGGCAGGATATATTCCGAGCACTAAATGAGAAAAATATGCAGCCAAGAATACTATATCCAGCTAGGCTGTCACTGAAAATAGGAGGAGAGGTAAAAAGCTTCCAGGACAAACAAAAACTAAAGGAATTTGCAAACAGCCCTACAAGAAATCTTGAAAGGGGTCCTCTAAGCAAAGAGAGAGCCTAAAAGCAACATAGACCAGAAAGGAACACAGACAATATACAGTAACAGTCACCTTACAAGCAATACAATGGCATTAAATTCATATCTTTCAGTAGTTACCCTGAATGTAAATGGGCTAAATGCCCCAATCAAAAGACACAGGCTATCATATTGGATAAAAAAAACAAGACCCATCGATATGCTGTCTGCAAGAGACTCATTTTAGACCCAAAGACACTCCCGGAGTGAAAGTGAAGGGGTGGAAAACCCATTTACCATGCTAATGGACACCAAAAGAAAGCTGGGGTGGCAATCCTTATATCAGACAAATTAGATTTTAAACCAAAGACTGTAATAAGAGATGAGGAAGGACACTATATCATACTTAAAGGATCTATCCAACAAGAAGATCTAACAATTGTAAATATCTATGCCCCTAACATGGGAGCAGCCAATTATATAAGCCAATTAATAACAAAAGCAAAGAAACACATCGAGAACAACACAATAATAGTGGGGGACTTTAACACACCCTTCACTGAAATGGACAGATCATCTAAGCAAAAGATCAACAAGGAAATAAACACTTTAAATGACACACTGAACCAAATGGACTTCACAGACATATTCAGAACATTCCATCCCAAAGCAACAGAATACACATTCTTTAGTGCCCATGGAACATTCTCCAGAATAGATCACATCCTAGGTCACAAATCAGGTCTCAACTGGTACCAAAAGACTGGGATCATGCCCTGCCTATTTTCAGATGACAATGCTTTGAAACTAGAACTCAATCACAAGAGGAAAGTCAGAAAGAACTCAAATACGTGGAGGCTAAAGAGCATCCTACTAAAGAATGAATGGGTCAATCAGGAAATTAAAGAAGAATTTAAAAAATGCATGGAAACAAATGAAAATGAAAACACAACTGTTCAAAATCTTTGGGATAGAGCAAAGGCAGTCCTAAGAGGAAAGTATATAGCAATACAAGCCTTTCTCAAGAAATAAGAAAGGTCTCAACACAACCTAACCCTACACCTAAAGGAGCTGGAGAAAGAACAGCAACTAAAGCCTAAACCCAGCAGGAGAAGAGAAATAATAAAGATCAGAGCAGAAATCAATGAAATAGAAACCAAAGAAGAGTAGAACAGATCAACAAAACTAGGAGCTGGTTCTTTGAAAGAATTAACAAGATGGATAAACCCCTGGCCAGACTTGTCAAAAAGAAAAGAGAAAGGACCCAAATAAATAAAATCATGAATGAAAGAGGAGAGATCACAGCCAACAGCAAAGAAACACAAACAATTATAAGAACATATTATAAGCAACTCTATGCCAGCAAATTAGATAATCTGGAAGAAATGGATGCATTCCTAGAGATGTATCAACTAGCAAAACTGAATCAGGAAGAAATAGAAAACCTGAACAGACCTATAACCACTAAGG